TGTTGACATGGGGTTTAAAGTTATGCATTATTAATTAGTCTTTTCTTATTGTTTCTTTCTTACTTTGTTCCTTGCTTACTTTCTTATTTCCTTTGTGATTTTATGACTTGTGGCCTTATACTTAGTCTCCTCTATCATATTCTTTTGTGTATACACCATGGGATTTTTCTTTGTGGTTAGCATGAGGCTTACATAAAATATCTTATATTCATAATTTTATTTTAAGCTGATGACAACTTCAATTTGATAACATAAATAAAATTTACACTTTTATTTCTCCCCACTCATATTTATGATTATTGATGTTAGAATTTACATATTTTTAAAAAATCCTCACTTGAGGAAATGCCCATTGACTCTAGAAATAGTTGAAGGGAGAGGAATAGAGAGGGAGATAAACATCGATGTGAGAAGGAAATGTCAATCTGATACCTCTTGTATGCACCAAGACTGGGACTGAACCTATATGTGCCCTGACAGGAAATCAAACCTGCAACCATGTGGTTTATGGGATGATATTCCAAGTGACTGGGCCATACTGACCAAGACTACATTTTTAAAATATTGTGTATCAAATGATGAATTATTATGTAATAGTTATAGATATTTTTAATACATTTATATTTAACTTTTAAAGTGCAGTTGTAGTGAATTATGTAACACCATTACAAATCAGAGGACTTGACTTCAACTGTATATTTACAGTTATAGGGAGTTTTACTCACTCATTGTTTTTATGATGTTAATGAATATACTTTGATTTTAGCTTGACATAGGCCCTTTAACATTTCTTATAAGGCAAATCTACCGATGATAAATACCGTCAGTTTCAGTTCGTTTTTGAAAGTCTATTTCTCCTTCATTTCCAAAGGACAGCTTTGCTTGGTATGATTCTTGGCTGACAGATATTTCTTTCAATATGTTGAATATATTTTTCTTCTTCTGCCTGAAAGGTTTTTGTTAACATCCACTAATAATCTTATGAAAGCTTTCTTACATGTGATGTCACTTTTCTCTTGTTACTTTTAAAATTCTTTCTTTGCCTTTGAATTTTGACAGTTTAATTATAAAGTGTGTCTGTGTAAACCTTTTTAAATTTCTGCCTATTAGGTCAATTTGGCTTCATGAAGTTGAAAGTCCATTTCGCTCCCAAACATGGCATGTTTTCGACCATTATTGTTTTAAATAAATTTTCCATTTCTTTTATTTCTCTATTTCTGGGATTCCCATTATGCTTATATGATTTCCTTAATAATGTCTCATTAATCCTGTAGGCATTTTTCACTGTTTTACATCCTTGTTTTGCTTCTCTGAAGCATAATTTTAAATAACCTATCTTTCAGTGTCCTGATTCTTTCTTTTGTTTGACTGAGTCTGCTGCTAAAGATCTCTGCTAAATTTCTCAGTACATTTATTGTATTCCCTGGCTCTAGGATTTCTGGTGTTTCTTTTTTGATAGTTTCTTTTTTTGTTGAACTCCTCATTTTGTTCTTTTTTTTTTTTCATTTTACTTAGTTGTCTATCTATGGACTCTTAATGGTCACTGAACGTTTTAAAAAGGACTATTTTAAAATGTCAGACAATATAAAGATCCTTATGTTTCTGGGGTAATTATCAGAGTTTATCAGTTTTCTTTCATAGTGCTGTGGTTACTTAAGTCTTCATGGTCCTTGATTCCTTGTGTTCATATTAGTACATATAGTAAACACTCTCGTCTTCCTGAATTCACAGGCTTGCTTTGACAGGTAAATGCTCTCATCAGTTAGCTCAGATTGGAACACAGAACAGGAGATGATAGGATCCAAAGGGAGGTGGGCCACATTATCTGGGTCTCTGTTGGGAAGGCTTTGCTTGTACTCTAAGGGTGGTAGCTGGAAGCTGGCTGAATGTGTGGCTTGGGAGGTCTACTGGTTGGGCTCTCTGATCATGCCAGGCTGCTGGCTGTGCTCTGGGGCTTGATTGGTCCACTTGCTGAACTCTGTCATCACCTTTTGTTGGGTAATGTTTCAGGTTGTGTATCATGATGTTGTGGTACAGTGGATGGACTCTGCAATTGGTCAGGGTTATAGGTGGGGCTTTGCAATGGCTGTTTTTTGGATGGAATTTCAGACTATGTTCCCTCACCTGATGGTGTCTCTGGTTGGACTTCATGTTCAGTTGGGGCAACAAGCAGGGCTTTGCACTCATGTTGGGCTTTAGAATGTAATCTGAGATCTTGTGAGGTCAATGGTTGATTACTGAAGTTGGTTGGGTTATAGGTTGGGCTTCACAATAAGTAGAATTATTGGCTGTTTTCTGCTGTTGGACATGGTAATTGGCCAGATTCTCTGATTGGAGGGGCCTCCAGATGAATCCTGCTGTTGGGTGGGGATAGAGACTGTTCCACATTTGGGCTGGGTCACTCTCCTGGCTCCCTCATTGGGTGGGGTTACAAACTATGCTCTCTCTGATTTTGTGGGCTCATTGGCTAGGATCTATGAATGGATGAGGCCACAGGCTGTGTTAGTTAATTGGAGAGGGTCATAAACTGGGCTCTCCTACTAGATAGAGTTATAGAACTGGTTAAAAGGATCAGCTGAATCATAGGCTTGTTGCCATGGCTGCCAGGGTTGTGGCCAAGTAGCCAGGAATGAAGCTAAACTCAGCAGTTGAGTGGGTCTGCAAATTTGCTTCTCTGGTTGATCAGGGTGTTTGAATGGGCTCCATGGTCGATACAGGATGACCAGGGACCAAATATGCTAAAACTGCCAACTGAGCTCTCTGACCAGATGGTACCACTGATTCTGCTCAGCAGAAGGGCAGACTACTAGTTGGGCTCCCTCTTTAGGGACAGCTACAAGCAGCATGCAATCCACCCAGGTCTGAGTGCAGGGTGCTATAAGTCCCACTTTTGCTTGAGTTTCTAGTAGTCATCTAGTAGCCAGAAATCACCTAGCTTTTTGCCTAAGCCAGGCTGCTGAATCACATGGAGATGTAACAGGGATTACAACCCTTGTATCCTCAAATCTTTGCAGGTGGGACCAACACCATTCCCTCCCTCTCCAAAAACATGACATTGCTTTTGACTTACTATTTTCATCAAAGAAAACTTCAGTTTCAGAGCCTTCCATCTGGCACTTCCTAGGACAGTCATGGTTATTTCATAGGTTAAGGGTGATATGTTAAATAACTAGGTTGGCCAACTGCTATGTGTGTCCTGATTATACTTTTAGGGACTTGGAAAATGGTTGCTGGGTGGCAGCATGGATTGAGTAGACTCACTGTTATGTGGACATGACTTTACCTTCATAAGTATATTCTAACAGGGGCCATTATGGTCTTTTGCATCCCTAATGCCAACTGAGATACTGTATTAATGATCTTTACAATTTCTGTGTATTTCCTTTGTTTAAATACGGTTACTTCAATAAATGGCCATAGGTCTCTTTGGTGAAAATGTCAGGGAATTACTACTGTGTACATTTACACATTCATTTCTTTTAAGAACTGCCATCATTTTCATCTCAGCTTCTAGAGCAAGTATTGGCTGAGGTCTGGAAAGTGGGCAAGGAATACTGTCTTTTCTTTGAGGTAACACCTCAACCACCTGATCACCTTTTTTAAGTGTCTTTTGGTGGTATGTATATGAAGCAATATCCTGTTGGCTGCTCTGTCTTCCTTTAAAAACATCATCTTATATTAGCTATTTCCTTAGACATTTATGGGCCAGGGTTCCTGGTTGTCATTCTAAGCTTGCTGCTCATCACAGAGATTACTCATCTTGCCCAGATAGTTACACGCTGCCACATAGCTTCAGTTGCTCTGGAATCCTATCATTTTATTTGCTACTAGGATATCTAGCTCTGTACATCATTCCTACATTATTCCAGCCTACAGAGGACAGTTCCATGTGAGCATCTCAAGGGTGCAGGTGCTCTGTCAACAGTGCATTCCTTATACCTATTAAGGTGTTGTCTCTGAGGTCTCCTAAGGATGCAGTCACCTGCGAGATGGATGGTTCCCCAGCTGAAGAGAGTAGAGCCGTACCATCTTCCTAAAGATTTTGGATCTCCCCCATTCTGTTGGTCTTGGCAAGTTTGGTATTTCTACTTTCACTTTATGTAGCGTGCACTGTGCTTTATAGGAGACCTCTAAGAGCCACCCAGAATCATTGCCTTTGGAACTTGACAAGCTAATTAAACTCTGTGGCCCAGGAGGCTGTACTGGTATCAGCAGATACACTCCCACACAAATCTCCTAGCACCTACTTGTATGTGTGGCCAGTCCTGCAGGTCTGTTGGAGTAAACTACCTCTTCATGTAGCAGTGTTATCTAGCATATTCCTAGTTTGGTCATGGCGAGAAAACCCTGCATAGTCTTAATTCAGGTAAGATGGGGGGGGGGGGGGGTAGGGCATGGATCTGTGTATCAACAAGGACACAGGACCATTTTGTAGGCCTGTGGATTCAGAAGGATGTAGACTTCAGAGTTCTCAGGTGCATCTGCCTAGGATGCCTCATTCTGAGTTTCAGGGCTCCATGCTTTCTTTATCGGGGCCTTGACTTTGACTCAAGAGGCCACCCTGAGCTTAGATCCAGTATGCTCTGAATTTCTGCCATTCTTAAAATTAGGGCCTGTGCTAGGTTGTCCTTACTATCTGCCTTCTAGCTGTAGGTAATAATTAAGGTATGTATCTACTCAAGTATTAACGCATTAGTGGAACTTAGAAATAGCCACCCAATTATACAGTTCTTATGGTTACTATTTCTCCCTTTGTGAATGCCAGACAATTGTAATAGGAAGTATACCTATTCCCCTATACATCACTCGGTTTCCTGCAGGTGAATGTGTTTGCCAATGCACTGTTTCAGCACTCCAGGTACTATCAATGTTCTACTTGTAATCATCTGGTCAGATAGTGCTCCAAACTCAGGATGCCATGCTTGGCTGGCTGGCTAAGACCATTGTGTGTTGGGTTCCCTAAAAACAAAGCCAGTATAAAGTCTCTTAAGTAAGTGATTTATTGTGAGAATTCTCTGAGGAGGAGGAGGGTAAGGGAAGCAGGATACCATGGAGGGGAAATCTAAGCAAGGATGCGCTCATAGCTGGACAATAGCTCTAGCCCAATTTCCTGAAGAGCACGGGAGCGTGAATCACTGCATATGGTTGATTCAACCTTGGGGCTGGGAACAAATCAACAGGCTAAAGAGATGTAATGTTCAGGTGCATCTGGCTCCATTTGGCCAAAAGCAATAGATTTGGGAGAGGTGGCATTGGCAGACAACCCTCACAGCAGCAGGGGGAGAAATCTGTCTGAAGTGGGACATTTCAGGGTACCAACAGCATCCATTACACCAGAGAGCTGTTCTAATTTGTCTCCTGAATAGCAAAGACTTCTTTGAAATTATTCTTAAATTCCTCCTTTATTGAGTGTAAATATTTGCACTGGAAAAAAAAAACCAGACAAAAATAATGACACTCATTACCACCGCCATTAGACACCTTGCAATTGAAAATGATAAAACTCTTAACTAAGTTAAATTCATGAACACAGGCAACTAAGAGTAACTTTTGTTTCCTAAGAGCTTGATTACTCTTTTTGGATAGACAGAAATGGGAGATCATTACTACTCTCGAGGACTCTTACTCATCAGGTTTGGGTGTTTTCTTTTAGTGAGAATTAGAAAAGTAGCAATCAAATACCACAGATGTCTAAGTACAATCAGTGATCTTCCTTTTGCGTTGTTACTTCTGTTCCCTTTTGGTCCCCCCTGTTAACTATAGGGTGATCCACATGCAAAGGACTCTGCAGTTTTTGGGATTTCTGAGAGGTCTGATTGAGTATATTTGGGGAGATATAAGAGGAACAACATGACTTCAGGATGCAGTCTCCTTTGTAGGTGTGGAGCAGGAAGGATGTGACTGTCCTCAATGGGGACCTGTCACCCTTACTGAAGCTCTCAAGGGCCTGGGGTTTTGGGTGCAATGACATCTTCTCACTCATTGTTACTCTCCCAGGTGAGCTTCAATCTTTACTTTAAAAAAATCACTCACTTCCTGAACTCTTGCTTGTACAGGCTCATCATAAAAAATGAGGGAAACTATAAAAATCCCCAGCACTAGGAAAGGAGGGTATAGGGGCTGATGCAAAGAAAATGCAACGAAAGCATGAGAGCAACTTACCCTGGGGTCCCAAAAGAAATTGTCCATGGCCCGCACCAAATCTTCGACTTGGGGATAATTTCCCTTAATTAGTTTCCTCTTGATTCTGTCCAACATCCTAAGTTTCCTTAGGTATTCAGAAGCGTTTCTTACCTGGTGAAAAATATATCAATAGGAATCAATAGGAGAGTTGCTGACACAGTGCAGTGGCTGCCTTCCATGGACTCCCATCGCACCAGCAGGAATCCAAGGTGCAGATAAAGGCAGCCCGTGCTCTCCCTCCCGGGGGCTCCGGATCACAAATCCCACACAAGAGCCCATGTCAAGGTCAGGTAACATCATGGTGGCCTGCATTCATGGTTTGTTGTTACTCACATAAATTTCATGTGGAATATTTAGAAAAATGTTGCTCTCTAAATGGTAATAGACCTTTAAGAGAAGGAACTCACATTTCTGCAAAAGAAAGAGGATGTGAATGAAAAACAGCTTGGAGAGAATGAGCCAACAGTCATGCACAGGTACGCGCGTGTCCAACCCAGTCTTCTGGAACTTTCCCCAAACTGGTATTGCTCTTGGACATTAACAGGCAATGGCTGCCGCCCCGCCCCCAAAACAGGTTCTGGTGAGTTTTCAGCATGGTTGAGGCACGATCAGAAAACCAGGCACTGTTTGGCAACCTCCCCCTCACCCTGTGACTGCCTGAATTCTCACATGTGAGCGGACAGGCGGAGGCCTTGGGCCAAATTCTACTCACCAACTTCTCCTCAGGCCCCATCTGCTTCACCAGGATCTCAGATTCCCTGTAACGCTGCTGACTTCTTGAAGAATTTTGTATTGTGCAGAAGGTACATATCCAACTGCTCCTGAGAGGTCAGATACGAGTGAGCAGGGAAAAGCCCAGAAACAGCCACTGTCACTATAACTGCCACTGTCCTCCTTTCAGGAATGGCTGATGGCACAGCTGGGGGATGAAGGGGACACGTCCCAGGGTCTCCAAGTTTCTCATGTGATGACTTTCCTCCCACAGAGAGTAGCCACAGAGGGTGTGGGTGGAGGGCGGTGTCAGGGTGGGAGGTGGGCTCTCCTCTCCCTGTCTGAGCTTCTGGGAGCACAAGGAGCCCTGCCTACCAGGCCTGAGTGCCAGAGACTGGACTTTAACCCATGGAGACTTTAGGGCTTCATAAGCCAGCTGGAAAGGTAATGAAATGAGGTACCAGGCCATGTTATCTTCCTTTTATGAATAAGCACAGAATAAAAACAGCTGGCACTACCATTGTATGAACAGGAGTCTGTGCTGGGGAAGTTCTGGAATGGGCAGTAGCAGTGTGTCAGAAGAGGACCCAGCCGCTGGCCTCTGCCTCCTGAGGAGGGAGGAGAACATTCTGCTCCTGCTGCCTGTGTCACTCAGCAGCTCCGGGGACCATCCTGCTGGACCCCGGCCCTCCGGCCCCGCTCTGTCCCCATCAGGTCACAAGGAGGAACCCCACAGGGGGAGCGAGCCTGGCAGGGGGAGGGGACCTAAAGGGGAGTGTGGCTCATCTCACAAACCTCCTAGTGTCCACAGGTGGGAGGTGACAGTCCCCATGAAAGAATCTGTAACAAGTAGCGCAGCCAAAGAGCTTCCCTCCATCCTGGCAGATCTCACATTTGTCTGAGTTTCCCACCTAGAAGGTAAAACAGGGTCCACATCCCCATGAGCCCATGACAACCAGCGCTGTGGGAATCTAAGACTTATGACCTTTGTGTGACCTGCAGGGGCTCGTGTGTGTTTCCCCTGAGCTGCGAAGGGGCAGCTTGGGGTGCAGGTTGCAGAAGAAGGATTCTTGGTCTGCAGAGAAGTTCAGGACTGGTCTGTGTGACCAGAAAAATTATTCCTATAAAGCCAGAGATCCTAACACAGAAGGACAGACAACAAAACAAGAGGATGATTTTTATAGAAATCAGAATCATCTTATTGCCTTGCAGAAAATAAAAGGCTCTGAAGAAAAGTGTTAAGTCCTTTTGCCTGCACCACAATGACTGAAATGCATCCTGGAAATGCGGTGTGCTGGGAAACTCATAAGATGGAATAAACTTCCTGTTTTCTTGGCTGTAGACTCTCCATCAGTTGAAGGGACTGGCAGGGCCCTGGGCTATGGATTCTGTGCCTGGACGGCCCCTGGATTTGTGACCCTGACTTTGAGTTGAAAAGACCATGACACAGATGTCCAGGTGGTGGCAGGAAAGACGGGGCTCTGCGACTCTGGGAGCCGGAGGAAGAGGCCCCATGACTCAGCTTCACATGAAGGTGTGGAGGCTCCATCTCTGAGTGGCCAGGGAGTGTGGCGATTGGTTTGGTCTGTAAACCAAATGGGGAGGTTTCTCCCAACCTATGCACAATCAGCTGAAACTGGATTTATTACCAGTCTCAATATCTGGCCTTTGACCAGATTTAAGTTCACTTGGAGAAGATGAAATTTGATAATATTTTCACCTCAATCTTGACTTACTCATTAAACCCAAATAAACTCATAGAGCAGCTATGAAGATACACAGTGTTATACACAAACATGGTGTATTAATGACAAAACACTGGCCTGTAACTGAGCCCTTCAATGAAGAAAAAGTGGTGGAAGGAGTAATATTAAAGCTCACTGTGAGGTGTGCTGTGACATTTGCTAAAACTGAGACGGCCTCGGACAACCTATCTGCACATTCCCCTCCCTACTCTGCTCCCCTTGTTAAGGTCCCACAGCTAAACAAAGCTCCTTGTTAAAGGACCACCACTAACCTCGCCCATCCTGGAACATCAGGTTTCACTTCCCTGTCAGCGATGGAACCTTTCACACAAGCCAGACACAGCCTCCCACGGAAACCAGGGGGCCCCGCCACCCTCCCCAGCCCCTGGTGGTCCACTTGGTTCCTAAGTGCCGTGTCTGTGGGGCCTGCAAGGGAGCACTGTCTTCCTCCTCATTCTGGAAGTAGATGTGACTAAGAACAGATGTCAATACCTCTGTCCAGTGGCAGATGCCATTACTTGCAACCCCCAAACTGCCCAGTGGACATTTTTCCTCATGAATAAGGTAAAGAAGAGATGATTAAAACAGAAAACCACTCTTTTAAGAAAATGAAAATCAGCTTTTACATGTGAATGAGAAACTTTTAGGAACCATATCAGCCCTTCATTGCTTTCCTGGTTCTGCCTTGTTAGAGAATCGAGGCGGTTTGAGAACCACTTGGGGGCAGTTCTCTCCCAGATGGAAACATCCTGTCTATCCCATGGTCTGCCGGAGAAATTCCTCCCTTCCTGTGATCGTTTGAGGTGACACAAATGAGATTGGCTTGAGGACTTGCCCGCCCATGGATGGGTGCTGGGTGGGGGGGAGGTGAGCCATTGAGGAGCAGGAGGAGGCAGGGGTGACAGCGTCCACCTTCCTCTGCAATGGCCTCTCCTGTTTTCTCCAAACCCGTGTGGTCTGTGCCATGTCTCCCCTGGGGCTACTCCCTCAGCCTCACTGCTGTATTTCCTCCTCTTCTTCTCCTTCTTCTCCTCCAACACTTGGATGGAATCCCTCAGGTTTCTACCTTTGGCCATTCAGTTGGCCCCAGATGGTCAAATCACAGTCAAAGCTGCAGTTCCATCGCTATGTCTCCAGCTCCCAGGTGTCTTGTGTTTCCTCTGCCTTTGTGCACATCCCTGTGCTCGACCAGCATCTCCGCCTGGGCCCTGAACTCATGCAGTCAAAACTTAATGTATTCTCTTTTCCCAACCAACTACATGTTCTTTCCTGGTGCTTCCATTTAGTAAAACATACGATTTTGTCCACAAACCTGAGACTCCATCCTGGGGCTATACTCTCACTTGCATCCCAAATCCACCCTATCCCCACTTCTCACAGTAAAATTTATGCTTCTGTTCTTAGTTCCTTTGTCCCTGTAGGGTCCACTGCATACAGGGATGCTGAGACCCTCATGAATAGCTCCAACTTAATATATAAAAAGAGGGGTCAGTTTCTCAAAGTCTGTATTATATCTCGTTTAACAACAGATGAAGATCAGAAATGTCATTCTTGAAGCTAATGGGCAGAATAATTTGGAACATAGCTATTATTACTCTTAATGTAAGTAATAAAAGTCACCAGGAATTATTTTGAATCTTGTTCTGGGATTTTGGGTGAAAAGTCTTACCAGAATCAGGACACTGGTCATTTCTTTTATATCCTTATATGAGAAAGTACAAGTGCCATGGGACATCTTGCCAAGAGCTGTCACTCAGTGTTCTGAGAATCCTGAATCACATGCCCAATGGGGACTGAGACTACTCCAGCCTGGAGGCCTGGGGACAGTTTCCTTCCCCTCACTGTAGGGACTCACAGATGACCATCCTCATTCTCCAGAAAGCAGTGACCCTCTTCCCAGAAGAACAAGAAAACAACAAATATAACCAGTGCACAAGAATCTTGCATACATAAATCTTAAGCAAGACCAGTCAGTCTCTCATATCTGTGGCTCTTTGTTTCTTTTTCCAGCGATACATTTCAATTGTCTTAGGAGAGCAATAGTGTAATAATGTCACAGCCCAATGTCAGAGATTCTGATCAATTGGTCTGGGAGGGGCATAAGCATTGGCATTCTCCCTTAATTGTAGAATGAATAACTTGTGTATCAAAATCATCTGGAGATTGATTAACAATTCTGATGTACACGTCATAACTCAGAGCGTTTAACTCTAAATTTTGTCTAGAATGGGATTCAAGCAATGTCATTTTCCAAAGGTCTTCAGGTGATTCCAGTACAGCATAAATTGAGATTTAGCCTAAGCCAGTGTGGTTATTCATGTAGGCTCTTATAAGTCATTGTTAAATTGGCCTGTAAAATCTATCCTAGGAAACATTATCATTAACAGGAGTGAGGGCACTCTTGCTGGAATGGTTGCCTTCTCTTCCCTACAGTTTCTTGGACGTTGGCAGTGTGACAGGACCCTCTGGGTCTCCATCTATCAATAAGGGTCTAGGGAACCATGCAAGTGTCCCAGAGAACTCCACAACCTCCTGCAGCTATTCTAGGGCATCACCCTAATGATAAAATGAATCTGAGGTCTTTCATACCCCAATTCTTTTTCCAGGAGGTCTACCTCCTCTTTATTCCTCCAAATTCCAAGATGGCACCTGGTCGACTTTTCATAGGAAACTGACTACTGTGCACTATACTTTCATTACTTGTGTGCCTTCAATAGAATGACTAGGCCTCCTTCCCTTCAGGCAGCCTCAGCTTTTATCTCCACCCATGGCAGAGAGGACATAGACAATTGTGATCCCCTGAAAAGTGATCTGAGAATGGTTATGTCACTGCCTGCCCCTTGGGTACCCTAGAATCCCTAATCCCAAATAGTTACTCTACTATGGTAGATAGTTGAAGTTGAAACAATCCTTGAGTTCAGGGATATTATTTCAATTTTCTTTGTGGACATTGGGCATTTCTATGCACTCAGTAACTGTATGTTGAATGAGTAAATAAATGGGTATTGCTTCACTTAGGAAAAGAGATTACGTGGTATCTTTTTAAGCAAATATTAGCATGTAATAAATGATATCTCTGTCTGAGTAACTCCGTTTATATGACAACACACAGCAGTTGTCACCAGGAAGCGTAAGTGTTCTCATCAGGAGACAGGAAGCTGTTGTGTAATGCCGAGTGACACTGAAGTCTCCAGGAACCAGGAGCTCCATCAACAAGAGAAGTTCTGGGAGGCACAGAGGATTCACCATGGCAGAAATGCATCCTGAGAGCTGCCACTTTGGGTCACTTCAGTTCTTGATGAAAAAGACACAAAATATATGGAAAATTGAATCTTTTCAATGCAGAATGTTCCACCCATGGATAAAGATGTGGGTTGGAAGTTGGTAGCTCTTTCAGGTAATGAAGATAAAGTAATTCTTGACACATGGAGAATGGTAAACACAGCTCTTTAAAGTAGTTACCAATTAGGTCCTTCAATATTTTCTCTTCAGTAAATGCAGTGGGTGAAATTCCTTACTACTGGTTGTTCAAAAGACCCAGAACATAAGGATCAGCAAGATGGCAGAAGAGTGAATGGAACTTGCATTCACCTCCTCCCGGGACCAACCTGGAATTACAACTAAATTGTGGAGAAATCACCTGGAACAAACAACTGAACAATAGTGAGAGAGGAGCCTTATAACCTCAGACAGACAGAAGAATCAGCTTCAGCATAATCTGACTCGTAAGGACCTCAGTGGAGACTTGAGAAGGTGGGCTGGGCGCCCATTGGTGGCAGTGCTGTAGGGATATTTAAGTGGCCAATTGGATCCCCCTGAGAAGAGTGGTGTCTAAACCCTAAGCTGGGATCCCTAGCCTAGAGAGCACCAGAGTCCAAAAAGTACACAGGTAACAACCAGCAGCAAAAAGCAGCAGGGTTGCTCTCTGTCAGAGATGGATGGCTGGAGATACAAAGAGCCATTTAAAGGGCCGATACACAATTTTCATTTGCAGGCACTTATCCTGGGCTCCATCAAAAGCAGGGGCAGAGTGGGCTAGAGACATTTGAGGAGAGACTAAGGACAGAATCTTGGGAGGGGGGCGGCGGGATGGAGAGAGTAGCCAAAGGGATCCTGGTGCTGAGTCATCCCCATATGGCAATAGCTATCCTGCTCAGGTAGACCAC